TTAGCTACTCAGGAGACTGAGATCTGAGGATCAAGGTTCACAGCCAGATGGGACAGCAACTAACTAATCTGTGAGACTCTTTTTTTTTTTTTATTGTCGGCCATGGGGCTTGAACTCTGGGCCTGGGTGCTGTCCCTCAGCTCTTCAGCTCAAGGCAAGCGCTCTACCATTTGAGCTACAGTTTTCTGGTGGTTTATTGGAGATAGGAGTCTCACGGTCTCTCCTGCCCGGGCTGGCTTTGAACCATGATCCTCAGATCTCAGCCTCCTGAGTAGAGGCGTGAGCCACCAGCGCCCGGCATCTGTGAGACTCTTATCTCTAATTAACAGTAAAAATCAAGAGGTGGAGCTGTGATTCAAGTGGTATAGCACCAGCCATGAGCAAAAAAGCTAAGGAACTACACAGAGCCCTGGGGTGAAGCCTCAGTACTGGCACAAAAATTAAACAAAACAAAACCCTCACACCAAAACAGGGAAAAGAATAGCTATCTCAAAGGATTGCTATGAGGATTTACTAGGATAATAATAATGATTAGTAATATAATAGGAGTAAATAATAGCTTGGATAGGGCTATTACTCTATAACTCAGAGTAGAATACTTGCCTAGCATGCACAGAGTCCTAGATTCTATTCCTTGCACTTCAGAAAAGACAGGGAAAATAAGAAAGTTCTGCTCTGGAGCTAATTATTTAACCTCTGTGGCTTAGCTGCCTCATCTATTAATTGAGGATGATGCTACCTGCTTGATAGGCACGAGTTTTACAGAAATTAACATTTGCAAAGCACTTTCTGCTTGTTAAGCAACTTGCTAGTAAGTAGCTATTAGATCCATTTTTTTGAGCACTTTGGTTTTCTATGTTACTAGTTTTAGCTGTTCGTATACATCAATTACACTAAATCTTTATGGCACTCAGGAAGGGAGCCAGCAACTAGATCATCCCATTTGTGGGATGTGGAATTCAGAAACTGGATTTTTTTTCTAGATCAGGGATTGACAAACTATAGTCCATGCATTAAACCCAGCAGGCAGCCTGTCTATCCATATGTGTTCTCATGCTGCCATGGTAGGGCTGACCAGAGCCTAAAATCTGTGCTATGTGACCTTTCCCTAAATGGTTTCCTGATACCTGAGTAAGAAAAAAGGCAGAAGCACAGGCTGGGAATGTGGCTTAGTGGTAGAGTGCTTGCCTAGCATGCATGAAACCCTGGGTTCGATTCCTTAACACCACATAAGCAGAGAAAGCCAGAAGTGGCACTATAGCTCAAGTGGTAGAGCCCTAGCTTTGAGCTAAAGAGCTGAGAGACAGCGCCCAGGCCAGAGTTCATGCCCCATAACCAACAACAACAAAAAAAAGTGGCACTATGGCTCAAGTGGTAGAGCACTAGCCTTGAGCAAAAGAAACTCAGGGACGGGGCTGGGAAGGTGGCTCAGTGGTAGAGCACTTGCCTTGCATGCATGAGGCCCTGGGTTCGATTCCTCAGCACCACATAAGCAAAAAGAAAAAAGCCGGAAGTGGCGTTGTGGCTCAAGTGGTAGAATGCTAGCCTTGAGCTGAAGAGGTGAGGGACAGCACCCAGGCCCAGAGCTCAGGCCCCATAACCGGACCCCCCCCAAAAAAAATAAATAAAAGAAGCTCGGGGACAGTGCCCAGGCCCTGAGTTCAAGCCCCAGGACTGGCCAAAAAAGAAAAAAAAAGGCAGAAGCAGGATTTGAACTAGATCTGTATGGATCGATAGCTTTTGACTGTTTTTACTGACCAAGGTTTTGTGATGGTGCCGGGCTGTTGTGCATTAAAGACTAGAAAAAAAAATTTTTTTTTTTTGCTGTTTTTTTGAGCACCAGGAACCCTCCCCTTTCCAATCCAGCCAAGAGTAGAAGTGGAAGTGATTTGAGGTTGCACATCTCTGCATCCCTCAAGCTAGGTAATGAGGCTCAGGAAGACTGCTGAAGCCTGCCTGGACTGTGCCCTGCTGATGCCATAAGTTATGACAGGAAGGGGAAAGTCATGTAAGGGAGAAGGGAGGCAAAGTGGGCAAGTCCCTGCAATCAAGACCAGTGGCCATGATTCTCTTGGGCCAGGTCAGAGCTGTGTGGGCTGGTGCTAACAAAGTGAAGGAGCTAATTAAAAAAAAAAAAAAAAAAGTGCCAGGTAGAGCAGCAAAATTGCTCAGGGACAGCATCCAGGCCCTGAGTTCAAGCCTACAACCAAAAAACAAATTCCTGCCAGGTGCCGGTGGCTCACGCCTGTAATCCTAGCTACTCAGGAGGCTGAGATCTGAGGATCGAGGTTCAAAGCCAGTCTGGGCAGGAAAGTCTGTGAGACTCTTATCTCCAATAAACCACTAGAAAACTGGAAGTGGCACTGTGGCTCAAGCGGTAGAGCACTGGCCTTGAGCTGAAGAGTGCAGGGACAGCGCCCAAGCCCAGAGTTTAAGCCCCACAACCGATCAAAAACAAACAAACAAACAAAAAAACCGAAACAAATTCCTGACAGAAGTGGAGTTGTAACTCAAAAGGGACTGTACCCAGGCCTTTGAGTTCACACCCAATGACTCAACAAAAACTCCTGAGGTGAAAGCTGGGTGCCAGAGTCTCACCTAAAATCCTAGCTCCTCAGACGCTGAGATCTAAGGATCTTAGTGTGGAGCTATTCTGGGCAGACAAATCTTGGGACTCTTAACTCCAATTAGCCAGCCAAAAAAACTGGAAGTGGAGGAATGGTTCAAGTCACAAAGCATCAGCCGAAAAGGCATGTGTGAGGCACTGAGTTCAAGTCCCAGTACCAGCAAAGGGGGAAGGAGGATCTTAGGGTGCTATGGATACCCGGTCTATTCCTCAGATGTCTCTGGGGACTTCCAACTGGTTCAAACACTGAACCGATATGTTTTCCTTCTCGGTGCCAGGAACTTGTCTAGGCGCTGAGAACACAATGCTACACAAAATTCAGACACTCTTGGAGATAGATAATTCACAAATAAATAGGCAAAAAAATATCAAGTAGTAGGGGCTGGGAAGGTGGCTCAGTAGTAGAGTGCTTGCTTTGCATGCAACAAGGCCCTGGGTTTGATTCCTCAGCAGAAAAGGCTGGAAGTGGTGGTGTGGATCAAGTGGTAGAGCACTAGCCTTGAGCTGAAAAGCTGAGGGACAGTGCCCAGGCCCAGAGTTCAGGCCCCATGACAAAAAAATAAAATAAATTTTAAAAAATCAAGTAGTAAAACGATCTCTAAAAACTCAAGCAAGCTGCGATTGAGAGGAAGTGGTCAATATAGTGTGGGAAGGCCACCCTACAAGTGACACCATCTGAGCTGAAGCCACAGTGACAAAGACATGCTAATCATGCACCCCATTGCTGAGCTGCACCCCCCACCCTGGTCTGCAGCTTTGCTCCCTGAGTCAGACTCCAGGAAGGTTACTTGAGTTCAAAGGAATATAAATAACCATGCCTCCTCTGACCCTCAGCATTTCTCTCCCCCTCATGTACCCATTCCACTGGTATACTTGTTGTATGTGCTTCTACTCATAATAACCAGCATTTCTTTGGTGCTAATGGTATGCCATGTACCATTCCCAGCACATTTGCCAAGCCCACTCAATTTATTATTTCAATCGCCTTAAATGATGATCTCTCTCCTCCCTCTCTCTCTCTTTCTCCCTCCCTCTCTCTCTGTACATGCTAGTACTGGGGCTTGAATTCAGGGCCTGGGAATTGTCCCTAAGCTCTTTTACTAATTTTAATTTTATTTTTTTGGCTCAAGGCTAGCACTCTACCACTTGAGCCACAGCTTCACTTCTGGCTTTTTAGTGGTTAACTGGAGATCAGAGTCTCATGGTCTTTCTTGTCCAGGCTAGCTTTGAACCTTGATCCTCAGGTCTCAGCCTCCTAACTAGCTAAGGTTAAAGGTGTGAGCCACTGACACCGGGCTGATCATTTTTCCGTTTTTAGATTGTGATAATAGGCTAAGAAAAGTAAGAATGTAATGCCAGGCATTTTAGGATGTGCGCTGTAGTCCCTCAGAAGAGTCTTTACTGGGCTATAAGACCCACTTCCCACTGTTTATGCACCATCTGTTAAGTGGAGTCCACAATCCCATCAAGAGTCTCTTCAACCTCCCCAGTTTACTGCAAAAGAGGGTTAAGAGTGCCAGCCACACAGGCTGTTAAGAAGGCTAAATAAGTTGACCTAGATCTAGGGTGCTCTGCCATCCTGGTTTGCATGGGACTGAGTGGGTTCCCAGGGACTATAAATACCACGAAAGTCCCAAGAAAATCAGAACAAGTTGGAGGACACCATTATTCCTCCCTCTTTGATTAACAGCAAAAAGATAGCGCCTACTCTGTCCCTGTCCTAGGTACTTGGAACCCTGTTGGCCCTTGATGCGACACAAGAGTCCTGTGCAAAGTATCTAGCTCCAAGGGTTCGTCCAAGAATCCATAATCAGTCGCCTGTGTGTTGTCCCGGGGCTTTCAGGCTTTCAGGCCCCGGGACTTGTTAGGACTTGGTTTCCCTCGTAGGGAAGGTCTCTGATTGCTCGGGGCCCCAGGGCCGGGCATCCTTAGCGAAGCTAGGCAAAGAGGGAAGGGAACGAAAAACTTGGCCTGGGTTGCAGCGAAGACCCAGGCAGCTCCTGTTGCTCACTTTGGCTGGCCTCGGAGAGAAATGACTGGCCCACGGTCGCTCTGAAGAGCCGGGCTCTGGGAGCTGGGCGCGAGGGCGGCGGGCGGGCTGGCTCCCGCACTTCCCCCTCTCTTGAAAGGCCGAGTCCCCCACTTGTCCCGACAGAAGCCAGACGTGTCACGGGGCTCGGTTCAGCCCGCTCCGCCTGCCAGCGTCCCGCCCCGTCCCCTCCCAGCCCCCAGGGAGGAGGGGAGAGCGGGGAGCGGGGAGGGGGGTCCGGGAGGCTCGGCTTTATAAAGGACGGCTGGAACACCGCTGCCCGCCAGACCCCGCGGCCCGGATCCCCAGCGCCGCCCGCCGCCGCTCGTCCCCATCCCACCGCAGCCCTGCGGAACCCAGGTGAGGGGAGGAGAGCCGATGGGGAGAGGCCGCTGAGGTGGGGGGGGGGGGACGGGAAGAATCCCTTAGGACCCTGGAACCCCAGGCGCCCGCGGGGTCCCGCCTGGCGCTCCAGCGTGGCGAGGGCGCGCGCGCGTGCGCGGGGCCCGGGGAGACAGCTAGCTGTTCCCTAGGAATGCGCGTGCCCACGTTGCCATGGCAACGCGCGAGCCCGGGCCCGCCCGCCTCCAGAGAAAAGGTCATGGGGGGGGGGTGGAGGGAGGGGGCCTGATCCCCGGAGGTCCAGACTTGTCACGTGGCCATGGCCTGAAGGAGCCGAGGCTGTCCCCTCCCTGTGCTCCACATCCTTGAGAGGCACTGCGCAAGTCATGTGGTCTTTCTGAGCCTCAGTTTCTGCATCTGTCGAATGGAAGCAGGCTGGCTGGTTTGCACGTTCCCCTGGGAGGGTAACGGCCGGGTCAGCCCCCTCTCCTCGCCGCTCCGGAGGTCCAGGCGAGTCCGGCGATCCCACCCGCGCCCCCAGGCCCGCTCGCCATGGCCCTCCTCGGGGCCCTCTTGCTAGCGCTGCTGGCAGGTGCCCACGCGGAGCTCCCGGGATGCAAGATCCGCGTCACTTCCAAGGCGCTGGAGCTGGGTAAGGGGCGGCCGCCGGGGGGGGGGTCCGCCCAGGCCCGGCCCGGGGCTAAGGGTCTCCTCGCTGCTTCAGTGAAGCAGGAAGGGCTGCGCTTTCTGGAGCAAGAACTGGAGACCATCACTATCCCAGACCTGCGGGGAAGAGAGGGCCACTTCTACTACAACATCTCGGAGTAAGTGGGGTTCGGGCGGAGCCTGGGGCGGGCACGCCTTCGAAAGGGGCGTCCTCGGCGCCCGGAGGCAGGGTTGAAGGCCGGTGTACGAGATC